TCCCCGTGGCCCGGTCCTCGACCAGGCCTCCATTTTGTTACACACCCCCAGGAAGGAGCCCGTAGCAGCTGTCTTAACTCCCAGGTACCTATTTACTGCTAGGTAACAGGGGGCATCAGGGTGAAAAAAACTTTTTGCCCATTTGTCTCCGCCTCCACCGGGGATTGAACCCGGAACCTCAGGACTACGAAACCGAAGCGCTGTCCGCTCAGCTGTCAGGCGCCCTAGACCTAACCTTCCATAGATCTAACAGGGTTATAGAGGCTCATAATCGGTTCAAGAACTGAACCCCATAGTTCGTTTACCTAAGCAAGTGACAATCTTTAGAGTCTAGTTACACAATTGTTAATGTGTAACACATTATATTACATTAATACACATGTACATATTATATATATATATATATATATATATATATATATATATATATATATATATATATATATATATATATATATATATATAATATGTATATATATATATATATATATATATATATATATATATATATATATATATATATATATATATATATATATATATATATATATATATATATATACATATATATATATATATATAATATGTACAAAATACATATATATATATATATATATATATATATATATATATATATATATATATACATATATATATATATATATATATATATATATATATATATCCACAATACACATACAATCAATAATATTTTTATAACACAAGTGATTCAACAAGGGGCTCACAACAGTCTCGCTCCCGAAAAAGTTGTATTACCAGCCTATGATGGCAAGCATAGAGTTACTGCCCCCCCCCCCTGGAGGGTACACAGCCTCTGGGGATAGGGGTGGGGATGGGGGGGATGGAGGAAGGGGGGAGGGGCAGGAAGCCAAAGTAGTGGTGATCAATCTGATGTCAGTCACGTCGTGTCAATATGTCATGAACGTCAGTCATGTCATGTCATGTCAGCTCTATGAGGCCCCAAGCAACCGATCCCTTCCCACACCCGCTTCCTCGCACAGGTGTGTGTTTACCCCTGGTGAACATTCTCACAGGTGTGTGTTTACCCCTGGTGAACATTCTCACAGGTGTGTGTTTACCCCTGGTGAACATTCCCACAGGTGTGTGTTTACCCCTGGTGAACATTCCCACAGGTGTGTGTTTACCCCCTGGTGAACATTCCCACAGGTGTGTGTTTACCCCTGGTGAACATTCTCACAGGTGTGTGTTTACCCTGGTGAACATTCTCACAGGTGTGTGTTTACCCCTGGTGAACATTCTCACAGGTGTGTGTTTACCCCTGGTGAACATTCTCACAGGTGTGTGTTTACCCTGGTGAACATTCCCACAGGTGTGTGTTTATGCAGGCCCCTGGCTACACACCAGCAGTCCCCTGGCTACACACCATCAGACCCCTGGCTACACACCATCAGCCCCCCCCCCGCCTGGCTACACACCATCAGACCCCCCCTGGCTACACACCTGCAGCTCCCCCCCACACAACACCAACACCTTGGACTAATCGACAGCGCCGCCTACGGGCCCTAAGCGTTCATGACACATGTAAACAAAGGTAGTGACGGATGTCCAGGCGCCCGCTAATATGCAGACGCTTGGCTATACGAACGCACTGGATGATTTCCCAGTGTTTACGTTCGTATATGCCCAGCAAACAGCCCATGGACAGCGTGTCAGCCTCACCCTTCATCACCACATATGAAGATTGGTTACCGTTGTCGAAATTAACGCGATCTATGTTTTTTTTTAATGTAAGGACGAACGAACAGGGGCCTCGTAGCCTGGTGGATAGCGCGCAGGACTCGTAATTCTGTGGCGCGGGTTCGATTCCCGCACGAGGCAGAAACAAATGGGCAAAGTTTCTTTCACCCTGAATGCCCCTGTTACCTAGCAGTAAATAGGTACCTGGGAGTTAGTCAGCTGTCACGGGCTGCTTCCTGGGGGTGGAGGCCTGGTCGAGGACCGGGCCGCGGGGACACTAAAAGCTCCGAAATCATCTCAAGATAACCTCAAGATAAGGACGCTGAAATAGAGGGAATACAGAGAACATATACGGCACGCATAGACGCAGTAAAGCACCTAAATTATTGGGATCATCTCAAAGCTCTCCAAATGTACTCCCTAGAAAGAAGACGAGAGAGATATCAAATAATATACACCTGGAAGATACTGGAGGGCCAAGTACCAAATCTACACAGTAAAATAACAACGTACTGGAGTGAACGATATGGAAGAAAATGTAGAATAGAACCAGTGAAGAGCAGAGGTGCCATAGGCACAATCAGAGAACACTGTATAAACATCAGAGGTCCGCGGTTGTTCAACGTCCTCCCAGCAAGCATAAGAAATATTGCCGGAACAACCGTGGACATTTTCAAGAGGAAACTAGATTTATTCCTCCAAGGAGTGCCGGACCAACCGGGCTGTGGTGGGTATGTGGGCCTGCGGGCCGCTGCAAGCAACAGCCTGGTGGACCAAACTCTCACAAGTCAAGCCTGGCCTCGGGCCGGGCTTGGGGAGTAGAAGAACTCCCAGAACCCCATCAACCAGGTATCAACCAGGTATCAACCAAGGAGAGTTGTGAATGGTGCGTTTAAACGGGTTGTCATTATGTCACCTGTTTCTTCGGCTTTCGGAGGGGATACCATGTTATGTTGTATTAGGAATATTTTCTATGTTTGCCATATTCTCTGACGCTCTCTCGCGTACGTGCGTGTGTGTGTGTGTGTGTGTACTCACCTAGTTGTACTCACCTAGTTGTGCTTGCGGGGGTTGAGCTCTGGCTCTTTGGTCCCGCCTCTCAACCGTCAATCAACAGGTGTACAGATTCCTGAGCTTATTGGGCTCTATCATATCTACACTTGAAACTGTGTATAGAGTCAGCCTCCACCACTATAGTGTGTGTGTGTGTGTGTGTGTGTGTGTGTGTGTGTGTGTGTGTGTGTGTGTGTGTGTGTGTGTGTGTGTGTGTGTTGGTCTGTGTGTCTGTCTCTGTCTGTCTGTCTCTCTTATAACAAATATAATTGTGTAATGTGTGGGTGGTGGCCAGTGAGAGGAGCTTAGCGGTGTGAAATACTAAAAAAGAATAGTTACTCTGATAAAGGGGCGTGGCTTGAGAAACCTTTCAAGCTGTGGCAGGATCGCCTGTTTTATGTGACTACGGGCAAAGTATGAAAAGCAGCGAATTTATGTTAGTTTTCCGTAGATCAGTGAATAAATGGTATATATTACTATAAGATTTTGTATATATTTAGCTGTGTAGCCGCCGGGTAGTGCTATCAATCATTGTGGAGCCTGAATATGACCCCCCTGACACATTTCCCTTTTAGATTCTGGTGAACCCGACCAGCCTATGTTAATCCCATACCCCAGACCATTCCCTCTGCAAATTTGGATGAGACTACCCCATCGCCAAGAGGTCAGGGCTTATTGTGGTCAACATTTAATGACGCGTCATATACTGAGACCTGCTAATCTCATCACTGTTTCGGCGGCCTTTGATTCCCAACAAACAGCAGCCAACCTCCCTCTCCACCATACACCCCTCCCTTCCCCATCCCTCAATGCAACACACCGCTCCTATCCCTCCCTCTCCCCCCAACATTGCTCTCTCACTTCCTCTTCCACTGTTCCTACCCCCCCTTCTATCCCTCTCCTGCACCACACCACCCCACTACCCATCACACCTCCTCCCAATAATTCCATCCCTCTTACACCGCGCCCCATCTACCATACTTCCTAACCCCCTTCCGTTCATCCCTCTAACCTATCCTCCTCGACCTGAAGCATGCGACAGTGCCCCTAGAGCCCCAGGGGGTGAGGGCAGTAGGCGCGGGGGGCGAGGAAAGTGCCCCCCTTCCACACAGCCTATTCTTGCCCAGCCCCCCAATCCCCAGCCGGATTTAGCGGCGGCGGAATCTATCCGTCTTCGTCTTGCGGGGGTTTTCGGCTCATTTCCCCGGCGTCCCTGTTGTTTCCAGCCGTTCCAGTTTACGATCCTTCCAGCCGGCATAAATTACCATTCATGAATACAAACTAATTCGTGGTTTACGCTTCTCATTATTTTGTTGGAGTCCCACTAGGGAGAGTTTCCAGTTGGTGGGATGTTTAGCGGAGAATTGACAAGAGGCATTTTGTGAGAGGCTTAGACACTTTGGCCAGTCCTTCTCGCCCTCAAGTTGAGAAAGAATCCTATCTTGCGTTCTATAAATATATTTATATCGGTTGGTTTTTATATTTTATTTTTTTTACTCGTACCTGGAACATGAGCCGTTGTATATCATACATGAAAATGTGGAGCCAGAAAAATGTGTGGGTAAGACAAGAGTTAGGTGGGCATCAGGCTCCCAGCCGGCAGTTCCTTCCTTCCTCTGACCGGCCCGCGCGCTCACTCTCACCTCACCTTTTTTTCCCCCTCTATTTCGTATTCTTTCCATATTGATTCGTATTCCATCACTGATGTTGATTTATTATTTCTACTTTGGTATGGACAGAGTATTGATCATTCACCCCGCAATACTTTACTGCTATCGTCGATATCATAGGTCATAGCATTAAATTTGTTATATAAACAACATTATTAATATGAACACTTGTAAATATAAATTACGAGAGTGACTGCGAGCGAACTGCACTAAGAGGCGCCTGATGTGGCATATCCCAGCAGGACTCAGCCGTTGTAATCAGGCATTAAACCCACTTCAACCAACCATCTACCAGGATATTGATCTCGTGGGCGGAGCCACCACAGCGGCTCCGCCCACTCTGCCTCAGCGACCAATCAGCGCGCGAGACTCACTCTTCTCAGCCAGTGGTCGGGAGCAGATGCCCATTAGGGAGGGCCGGTCGAGACGATAGCCAATCGCGTCGCGGATTCCGGAATTCAATGAAAGAGATACTAGACCAATCAGAATCGTCAGAGGATAATGGTGGCCCGGTTTTCATTAGCGGTACAAATGGTGTGAAATGGTGATGTGATGAGCGCTGACTTAGGTGATATCAGAAGCGAACTCGACACCGGAAAGACAACACGTGTGGCGAGGCGGTGATCGGCACAGTCAGTACGCGGCCGCCCCGCACGCCGGACACCCGCCCCCACGCTCGGTGATCCTCCAATTACTTGACAGAAAAAGAATAGTTACCGACTAACTTTCCGCACATGTGCTCAAGAGAAATTTGGTGTTGATTTACAATTCGTGAGTTAGTTATTCTTGAGAGGTGAAAGGACTGGTGTGTGTGTGTGTTTGCGTGTGTAGGGCGGCTAAGAGCTCCTGACAGTGAAGAGAGCGAAGCCCGCGCCATGTCCGCTAGCGAGCGCAAGTCCTTCTGCATCGAGTCGCTACTGTCGCGGGAAGCGGTGGCTGGTGGCGGGGGGAGGAGTACGCTGAGCCCCGCTGACCTGACCTCTCACGACGTGACCTCACCGCCCCACACTCCACCCCTCAGCCCTCTCTCCTCGCCCCACTCCTCCCCACTCTCCATCTCCCCCGCCGTCACCTCCTCCGCCATGCTGAACCGGGCCACGCTCCTGGGGGGCGCCACCGGCCCCCTCATGCACCCGCACCTCTACCAGTACCCGGGCATGGGCATGCCCCCAGGCCTCCTACCCGCCCACGCCTTCACGCCCACCGCCTCCCCGCTACTCGACGCACAGGCCTTCAACGCCCTCAAATCCGGGGCGGGGTCGCTGCCCCCGGCCGCCCTCGACTGGTTCGCCCGCGCCGGGCTCATGTATCCTCGCCTCCCGCCGGAGTTAACAGGTCAGTGTTCCGTCTCGTGGCCGCTTCCAGCAGGTGGTCTCTCACCCCGGTGTAACACCAGGCCTGGCGCCCCGGCACCTGGCGCCCCGGTACCTGGCACCGCGGCACCTGGCACCCAGGCACCTGGCGCCCCGGCACCTGGCACCCCGGCACCTGGCGCCCCGGCACCTGGCGCCCCGGCACCTGGCACCCCGGCACCTGGCGCCCCGGCACCTGGAACCCCGGCACCTGGCACCCCGGTACCTGGCGCCCCGGTACCTGGCACCGCGGCACCTGGCGCCCCGGCACCGCGGTACCTGGCGCCCAGGCACCTGGCACCCAGGCACCTGGCACCCCGGCACCTGGCACCCCGGCACCTGGCACCGCGGCACCTGGCACCCAGGCACCTGGCGCCCCGGCACCTGGCGCCCCGGCACCCGGCGCCCCGACAACGTCACAATATGCCCCAGCGACGACCCGTCCTCAGGCCGGGCTCGCCCAAGCTACGGCTGAGTCCACCGACATATTCACCAACATCTTGGCGCTGGTGTAATAAAAAGCGCTATTTTCCGAAAAGTAAATAAATTTTTATATCACTTTTGTAAATAGGTCTAAAATAGGCCGCTTAGACTATTAGCAGCGGAGGAGGTTAACTGCTGGATTAATGAGCAAATGATCTTATGGTTTAAATAGGCCGAGTTCATAGGCTTTTAAGCTATAACTCGCGCCTATAATTCGCTTCCAGCCTATGCTGTACAAAAGCCTCTAAATCAACCTAAACTACTTAATCTACTTAGGCCTAACTTCACAAACGCATACTAATATAACAATTATAATTTTGTATCTGAAAATTATCGTATTTGTTTACACCGTATTGAAAAATAGTGTCGTATTATGGTGCCAAATTTTGTACTGTTGACCGCTGGCGAGAGGAGGTCTATAGGTCTATGTTGTTTATTATAGAGGAGGCCTCTATAATAAACACCTCGGCCTCTATAATAAACACCCTCGGCCTCTATAATAAACACCCTCGGCCTCTATAATAAACACCCTCGGCCTCTATAATAAACACCCTCGGCCTCTATAATAAACACCCTCGGCCTCTATAATAAACAACACACCCTCGGCCTCTATAATAAACAACACCTCGGCCTCTATAATAAACAACACACCCTCGGCCTCTATAATAAACAACACACCCTCGGCCTCTATAATAAACAACACACCCTCGGCCTCTATAATAAACAACCCTCGGCCTCTATAATAAACAACACACCCTCGGCCTCTATAATAAACAACCCTCGGCCTCTATAATAAACAACACACCCTCGGCCTCTATAATAAACAACACACCCTCGGCCTCTATGATAAACAACACACCCTCGGCCTCTATAATAAACACCCTCGGCCTCTATAATAAACAACCCTCGGCCTCTATAATAAACAACACCTTCGGCCTCTATAATAAACACCCTCGGCCTCTATAATAAACACCCTCGGCCTCTATAATAAACAACCCTCGGCCTCTATAATAATCAACACCTTCGGCCTCTATAATAAACAACACCTTCGGCCTCTATAATAAACACCCTCGGCCTCTATAATAAACACCCTCGGCCTCTATAATAAACAACACCCCTCGGCCTCTATAATAAACACCCTCGGCCTCTATAATAAACACCCTCGGCCTCTATAATAAACACCCTCGGCCTCTATAATAAACACCCTCGGCCTCTATAATAATCAACACCCTCGGCCTCTATAATAATCAACACACCCCTCGGCCTCTATAATAAACAACACACCCTCGGCCTCTATAATAAACACCCTCGGCCTCTATAATAAACACCCTCGGCCTCTATAATAAACAACACCTTCGGCCTCTATAATAAACAACACCCTCGGCCTCTATAATAAAACACACCTCGGCCTCTATAATAAACACCCTCGGCCTCTATAATAAACAACACCCTCGGCCTCTATAATAAACACCCTCGGCCTCTATAATAAACACCCTCGGCCTCTATAATAAACACCCTCGGCCTCTATAATAACCAACACCTTCGGCCTCTATAATAAACAACACCTTCGGCCTCTATAATAAACAACACCCTCGGCCTCTATAATAAACACCCTCGGCCTCTATAATAACCAACACCTTCGGCCTCTATAATAAACAACACCCTCGGCCTCTATAATAAACACCCTCGGCCTCTATAATAAACACCTTCGGCCTCTATAATAAACAACACACCCTCGGCCTCTATAATATACAACACCTTCGGCCTCTATAATATACAACACCTTCGGCCTCTATAATATACAACACACCCTCGGCCTCGGCCTCTATAATAAACAACACCTTCGGCCTCTATAATATACAACACACCCTCGGCCTCTATAATAAACACCCTCGGCCTCTATAATATACAACACACCCTCGGCCTCTATAATAAACACCCCTCGGCCTCTATAATATACAACACACCCTCGGCCTCTATAATAAACACCCCTCGGCCTCTATAATATACAACACACCCTCGGCCTCTATAATAAACACCCCTCGGCCTCTATAATATACAACACACCCTCGGCCTCTATAATAAACACCCCTCGGCCTCTATAATATACAACACACCCTCGGCCTCTATAATATACAACACACCCTCGGCCTCTATAATAAACACCCTCGGCCTCTATAATAAACAACACCCTCGGCCTCTATAATATACAACACACCCTCGGCCTCTATAATATACAACACACCCTCGGCCTCTATAATATACAACACACCCTCGGCCTCTATAATATACAACACACCCTCGGCCTCTATAATATACAACACCCCCTCGGCCTCTATAATATACAACACCTTCGGCCTCTATAATATACAACACCTTCGGCCTCTATAATATACAACACACCCTCGGCCTCTATAATATACAACACACCCTCGGCCTCTATAATATACAACACACCTTCGGCCTCTATAATAAACACCCTCGGCCTCTATAATATACAACACACCCTCGGCCTCTATAATATACAACACACCCTCGGCCTCTATAATATACAACACACCCTCGGCCTCAACACCCTCGGCCTCTATAATATACAACACACCCTCGGCCTCTATAATATACAACACACCCTCGGCCTCTATAATAAACAACACCCCTCGGCCTCTATAATATACAACACACCCTCGGCCTCTATAATATACAACACACCCTCGGCCTCTATAATATACAACACCCCTCGGCCTCTATAATATACAACACACCCTCGGCCTCTATAATAAACACCCTCGGCCTCTATAATAAACACCCTCGGCCTCTAAATAATCACACCTTCGGCCTCTATAATATACAACACCCCCTCGGCCTCTATAATATACAACACCGATACACAAATATTAACTAATATAAACACAAATCATGGCTGCCATTTTCATATAAATAAATCTCAATAAACCCAACATTTCTGTAAAAATTGTCAAGCTCATCACAAAAGCAACTTTGAGAAACCACAAATTATCAACATGTTGTGAGGGTGGCGCTGGAGGCACTGACGGAGTGCCAGCGGCGGCACTGACTCGCCACACCGTGTTGGCACTGGTTGCTACTACACATTGTAATATTATTTTTGGGGTTTAGCGATTTAGAACTAATAGATCGAGTGGTGGCGTGAAGCGGTCATCTCGCTTTCACAGGCTCTAAGGGAACCTCTTTGCTCAGTCGTCGGGATTTTGTATGTAATGGAAGGTTCAAAGGTTAGTATGTATTATATATATATACCAGATATATGTATTTGGGATATATATGTATGTTAATAACCAAAGGAGGCAGCAACAGTCTTCCCTCATAGCTGTGAGGCGCCTTCATGCACAAGGATACAGTCCTCTTGAATCTGAAGTTAAGCCAAGACCTGGCTGGCTCCGAGCAGGTGGAGGTGTCCCTCGGGGCGAGGCGCAGAGACGTCCCCGGGGGCGTGACGCAGAGATGTCCCCGGGGGCGAGGCGCGGAGACGTCCTCTGGGGGGCGAGGTGCAGAGACGTTCCCGGGGGCGAGGCGCGGAGACGTCCTCTGGGGGGCGAGGTGCAGAGACGTTCCCGGGGGCGAGGCGCGGAGACGTCCCCGGGGGCGAGGCGCGGAGACGTCCCCGGGGGCGAGGCGCGGAGACGTCCCCGGGGGCGAGGCGCGGAGACGTCCCCGGGGGCGAGGCGCAGAGACAGCGGCGGTGGTGGTGGTGGCGGCGAGGCCTGCCAGGGCGCGCCACACCGCCAGCACCCTGCACATACTGGTCCCTCGCCACACTAGGCCCTCAACATCAAACCTTTTATAACCAATCATTCTATGATTTACCTGACAAGTTTAAGATACATTAACTCGTGTTTCAATTAAAATATAATATGCTCCGTATGTTAAATGTTTTAAATGAATTATGAGTTTTGGTTTGGTTTTTAGTTTTTGCATGTCAGTGATGCTACGATGCCCAGGTTGGTAAGGCATGTCAGTGATGCTACGATGCCCAGCTTGGTAAGGCATGTCAGTGATGCTACGATGCCCAGCTTGGTAAGGCATGTCAGTGATGCTACGATGCCCAGTTTGGTAAGGCATGTCAGTGATGCTACGATGCCCAGCTTGGTAAGGCATGTCAGTGATGCTACGATGCCCAGCTTGGTAAGGCATGTCAGTGATGCTACGATGCCCAGTTTGGTAAGGCATGTCAGTGATGCTACGATGCCCAGCTTGGTAAGGCATGTCAGTGATGCTACGATGCCCAGCTTGGTAAGGCATGTCAGTGATGCTACGATGCCCAGCTTGGTAAGGCATGTCAGTGATGCTACGATGCCCAGTTTGGTAAGGCATGTCAGTGATGCTACGATGCCCAGTTTGGTAAGGCATGTCAGTGATGCTACGATGCCCAGTTTGGTAAGGCATGTCAGTGATGCTACGATGCCCAGCTTGGTAAGGCATGTCAGTGATGCTACGATGCCCAGCTTGGTAAGGCATGTCAGTGATGCTACGATGCCCAGGTTGGTAAGGCATGTCAGTGATGCTACGATGCCCAGGTTGGTAAGGCATGTCAGTGATGCTACGATGCCCAGGTTGGTAAGGCATGTCAGTGATGCTACGATGCCCAGGTTGGTGAGGCATGTCACTGATGCTACGATGCCCAGCTTGGTAAGGCATGTCAGTGATGCTACGATGCCCAGGTTGGTAAGGCATGTCACTGATGCTACGATGCCCAGCTTGGTAAGGCATGTCAGTGATGCTACGATGCCCAGGTTGGTAAGGCATGTCAGTGATGCTACGATGCCCAGCTTGGTAAGGCATGTCAGTGATGCTACGATGCCCAGGTTGGTAAGGCATGTCAGTGATGCTACGATGCCCAGCTTGGTAAGGCATGTCAGTGATGCTACGATGCCCAGGTTGGTAAGGCATGTCAGTGATGCTACGATGCCCAGGTTGGTAAGGCATGTCAGTGATGCTACGATGCCCAGGTTGGTAAGGCATGTCAGTGATGCTACGATGCCCAGGTTGGTAAGGCATGTCAGTGATGCTACGATGCCCAGGTTGGT